GTCACCAATGTGCCGCCCTCTGCGTGTGTCGCCAACGTGCCGCCTTTGCATGTCGCCCCCTACATTGTCCCCCTCTGCGTGTCTCCCCCTAAACGCCGGCCCCCTCTGTGTGTCTCCCCCCTCTGCGTGTCTCCCCCCTACGCCGGCCCCCTCTGCGTGTCTCCCCCCTACGCCGGCCCCCTCTGCGTGTCTCCCCCCCTACGCCGGCCCCCTCTGCGTGTCTCCCCCCTACGCCGGCCCCCTCTGCGTGTCCATCCTGGTGCCTCTTACAGGTATTAATCCATCACTTGTACCTTACAGATTATGCAGCCGCCCAACTGCGGCAATACCAGAGACTGACCAAACAGATCAAACCGGACATGGAGGAGTACAAACAGGAACGGGACAGACGGTGAGCGACATCCTCTTTCTACAAATGTCCTTTTATTGTCATTTTTCCATTTATAGGGAAAACACATTTCAGTGTCAGGATAACCGAAAAGTGATTTTCATGATGAATGTAAGAATTCCGTGGCGTGCTTGGCTGGGTTTTTATAATTTTCTGTTCTGTACATGTTTGTTGGGTCTCCATGTGGTTTTCTTTGTCGGACTCTGCAGTCACATTCATATCCGAACACTACAGAACTAAAATCAATAACAGGATAAGCACTCTAGAGATTGAACAATTCCATCCAGGGAAACCCCCCCCCCCCCCCCCAGTACATACCTCTGTGAACTGCCAAGTATGCGGCTGATACGTTTTTGAAATTTGACAAATCTGGGGCTGTCATCCTGACCCTTCCTTCACAATTTAGTGAGTCTCTGACCTGACACTAACATGTTTTTTATCCTGTGTTTGGATATGATACCTTTTAGGTAGTGAAGCAAGGCCAGGGAGATCATGGACAACACCTTCTGGTAGTGAAGCAAGGATGGGGAGGACATGAATGACACCTTCAGGTAGTGAAGCAAGGATGGGGAGGACATGAATGACACCTTCAGGTAGTGGAAGCAAGGATGGGGAGGACATGAATGACACCTTCAGGTAGTGGAGCAAGGATGGTCGGGACATGAATGACACATCAGGTAGTGGAGCAAGGCCAGGGAGATCATGGACAACACCTTCTGGTAGTGAAGCAAGGATGGGGAGGACATGAATGATACCTTCTTGCAGTGAGGCAAGGATGGGGAGGACATGAATGACACCTTCAGGTAGCGAAGCAAGGATGGGAAGGACATGAATGAACCTTCAGGTACACCAAGGATTCAGAATAGCAAAGCAGTCAAGGATGGGGAGGACATGAATGATACCTTCACAAAGCAAGGATGTAGCGAATGACACCAAGAGTCAAGGATGGGGAGGACATGAATGATACCTTCAGGTAGCAAAGCAAGGATTGGGAGGACATGAATGACACCTTCAGCTAGCGAAGCAAGGATGGGAAGGACATGAATAATACCCTTCTTGCAGTGAGGCAAAGATGGGGCAAGGAGGACATGAATGACACCTTCAGGTAGTGAAGCAAGGATAGGAAGGACATTGATGGAACCTTCAAGGTAGTAAAGCAAAGATAGGAAGGACATGCATGACACCTTCAGTAGTAAAGAAATGATTGGCAGGACAGTGATGGAACCTTCTGGTATTGAAGCAAGGATAGGGAGAACATGGGTGACACCTTCAGGTAGTGAAACAAGGATGGGGAGGACATGAATGACACCTTCAGGTAGTGAAGCAAAGATAGGAAGGACATGCATGACACCTTCAGGTAGTAAAACAATGATTGGCAGGACAGTGATGGAACCTTCTGGTATTGAAGCAAGGATAGGGAGAACATGGGTGGCACCTTCAGGTAGTGAAACAAGGATTGGGGAAAAAGGATGGATCCTTAAAAAAAAGTCCACAATGGGGGCTTTCCTATTGCTGTTAGAAAGGGTTGTCTTTGCAATCTATCAGTGACGCACACGGGATCGATCAGCAATGCTACTTAGAATCCCACTCTCCCCTTAGTAGGAACACTACTTCTGTGTCTTTTTGTTTGTCTTTACATATAAGCTTTTTGTCATTTGATGGATTCTAGAGGTGACAACTTCTACCCTACGGCGGACAGCCTGTACCATGGAACGCACGTCCCATCCAAGGAGGGAGTAGACAGAATGGTGACAGACCTGGAGAAACAGTAAGAACTTTTAACCCCTTACCGTCCACTAATAGCGGATCTGCATGTTGCTGAGCTGAGTTTATCACATCAAAATGTAGATCTAATCTAATTGGTTATTGACTCTTCAGTGTGCATGTGTATGCAGCCAAAGGCGGAGTTTCTGCTGGAGCATGCTTGTTAATGAGACCTGTACTGCAGGAAACAAAAAATCTACACTCCAGATCAACAACCTGTATTCGTATTAGCTACTTGTCTCCTGGGGCATTTTTTGTTTAGTTTTTGCACACATTAAAATCTGAATTGTGTGCTAGAAACTACTCCCCAAAATGGATTTATTTTCTAAAAGCAGAGGTCCTGCAGTTTGTGTTGCCTGATATTTTCGCCACTATTTGCAAAATTCATGTTTTCAGGAAAAAATACACTAAAATGAATTTTAGTGCAGGCACAATATAATACCCATTTTTTGCTAAAATATACAAGATTGGGTTGCATCAAGTACATAAACACCAAACATGTCAAGCCGTAAAATTGTGCATGCCTGTGAAATTGCAAAATATTATGGTACCCCCAAAATTCTCCATAGGCAAAACTTTCACCAATTGCCTACTGGGCCAGTTCTGACGTTTCTCTCCTACATGTAAAAATTTTTTTTGTTGTTGAAAATTATCTAGAACCCACAAACTTTTTTTTTTTTTGGTGGAGAATAAAATGGTGGGTGTTGCAATCTTTTATGTCACGCGGTATTTGCGCAGTGATTTTTTTAAATGCAGATTTTTTTTGACACCAGAAGGCAGTGGAGGGGGGACCATTATAAAGGCTTGTGTATAATGTTCAGCGAACCACAGCACACCAGAATCCTCCATCACTCCCTGTAGCTGTGTACCTTTCCACTGGCATTTTAACTGTATTAACCACTTGCCACCCAGCCACTGTATAAATACGGCGGCAGGGCGGCACGGCTGGGCAAAAGCACGTTTTAAAACGTGTGTTTTGTAAACAGGTAGGGGGCGCGCGCGAGGCGCACCGCCGCCCTACCTGTCCCGCCGATCACAGCCACAGATGTCAGTCGCCGGGTCACAGCCAGTCGTTACCGGCTATGTCCCAGCGATCGGCGGCAATCGCTGACAGAGAGCACAGCTGCAGTAGCTGTGCTTTCTGTCAGTTCCCTGACACGCTGATCGGGACAGAAGAGTTTTTCTCTCTCACAATCGGGTGTTCCCTGTGCAGTACACACCCCCGCCCCCCCCCTAGTAAAACACTCCCCTCACACAGTTAACCCTTTCCCTGAAAAATAAACTTAACCCCTTCCTCCCCCCAGTGCCATTAGTTCAGTGTCAGTGTTTTTTTTTTTTTTTTGCACTGATCACTTTATTGGTGTCACTGTGGATGTCAGTGACCCCAAGTCAGTATCCCCTAATGTCAGAATGTCCGCCGCAGTCCCGCCATAAGTCGCTAATAAGTCGCTGATTGCCGCCATAAGTCGCTGATCGCCACCATCGCCACCATTATTAGTATAAAAAAAACTACAAATCCCAGTATCTTTCCCGCCATTTGTAAACGCTATAACTTTCACGTAAACCAATTAATTTGCACGTATTGGGTTTTTTTTTTAGCAAAGACATGTCGCAGAATGCATTTTGGCAGAAATTTATGACTAAATTTGATTTTTAAATTTTTTTTCTACTGGACATGTTTTTATAGCAAAAAGTCCAAAATATAGTTTTTTTTTCCTCAAAATTGTCAGACTTTTTTTTTTATAGCGCAAAAAATAAAAACCGCACAGGCGATCAAATACCACTGAAAGAATGCTCAATTTGTGGGAAAAAAAGGATGTTAATTTCATTTATGTACCGTATTGCATGACCGCGCAATTGTCCGTTAAACTAGCGCAGCACTGTATAGCATTAAAATGGTGTAAAATTGCAGTATCTATACCATAGTTTGTAGACGCTATAACTTCCACACAAAGCAATCAATATACACTTATTGGGATTTTTTTTTACCAAAAAACATGGAGCAGAATACATTTTGGCCTAAATTTTATTACCAACTTTGAGTTTACTATATATTTTTATAGCTGAAAGTAAAAAATATTGTTTTTCTGCAAAATATTTGGCCTTTTTTTTGTTTAAAGCGTGAAAAAAAAAAAGCGCACAGGTGATCAAATACCACCGAAAGAAAGCTCTATTTGTGTGAAAAAAAGGACGTAAATTTTGTTTGGGTGTGCAGCATTGCATGACCGCGCAATTATCAGTTGAATTAGTGCAGCGCCGAGTAGCAAAAAGAGGCCTGGTCATTAAGGGGGGTAAATCCTCTGGAGGGCAAGTGGTTAAAGTATCCCACCGAGGAATGTACACTATGGGAGCGTGGCGCTCTTTTTTTCTGTCTTCCTGGAGCATCGGTCTGTCCAGGCTCGTGTGAAAAAGGGTTCTGGTGTGCTGTGATTTGCTGACCATTATACACAAGCGTGATTTGACTCTGTCAGGAGTCACATGTTATCTGGTAAGCTCACATGGTTGATGTTTGCTTTGAACACGGGTGTTTTTTTTTAACCAACTGACACATTCGCGAAGATTCTGTTGGAGAAGTTCAGGCTGAAGCTGTATCTTTACCCATCTATATAGTGGCTGGTTTCCAGTGTACGGCATTTCCACCTTCAGTTTTCCAATAAATTTGCATAATTGTAGACAGTGAGCAGGGGCGAATTTCCACAAGGCAAACAAGGCATTTGCCTAGGGCGGCATTTTTCAGGGGGGCTAGGTGTAAGGTGTGGATTGTGGGAATGGCTACTGCTAGAAATTGGTACTCCCCAACCCCCCCCCCCCCCCAAAAAAAAAACAAAAAAAAAAACCTATTGAGTTAACTCCTGGGGGGAGTGAGGGAGTGTACCAGCAGGACTTCGCTTTTTGGGTGAAGTTCCACTTTAAAGTGCCACTAATCCCTAGATCTTGTATTCACTATATCTGGTCTCCTCGGACCACGCATTCACTATATCTGGTCTCCCCGGACCCCCCCAGCATTCACTATATCTGGTCTCCCCGGACCCTGCATTCACTATATCTGATCTCCCCAGACCCTGCACTCACTATATCTGGTCTCCCCAGACCCTGCATTCACTATATCTGGTCTCCCCGGACCCTGCATTCACTATATCTGGTCTCCCCGGACCCTGCATTCACTATATCTGCTCCCTCCCCGGACCCTGCATTCACTATATCTGCTCTCCCCGGACCCTGCATTCACTATATCTGCTCTCCCCGGACCCTGCATTCACTATATCTGGTCTCCCCGGACCCTGCATTCACTATATCCGGTCTCCCCGGAACCTGCATTCACTATATCCGGTCTCCCCCCCGGAACCTGCATTCACTATATCTGGTCTCCCCGGAACCTGCATTCACTATATCCGCTCTCCCTGGACCCTGCATTCACTATATCTGGTCTCCCACAGTACACAGAACATGGAAATGCAATTATTTTAGTAAATATAAACTGCTAAATGCCTTTTCTCATCAGCAGTATATAGCAGTCTTGTGACTTCAGCAGAGCACTGGTTAAAGCTTGTAGGAGGAGTTTTCATTCTGCTCCAGGAGGATGCAGGACCCCTGACCTCTTTCTGGACAGTACTGATTGGCCCTGTGCTGATCACATGCACTCTCCCAATAAAAAAAAAAAAAACCCTCTAGAAATACACACCAAACTGAGCATGTGCAGAGTGACTCCACACGATGTGTGTTATCAGTGGATAATAGGGGCTACTGGAAGAAGGGGAGGATCAGAGAAGTCAGGATCAAACAGCCCTTTTACACAATGTGAAGGATTAACCCCGTAGGTTCCACAGTGATTATAACCAGCATGCTTTACTGCATCTACAGACTGATTGTACTGTTGTGGGATTAGTAACACTTTAACTTTTTAAACGACATCTCTGACTGGATGTTACTCTCCATTTCCTCAAGCTTAACCTCTCCAAAACCGAGCTCCTCGTTGTTCCCCCACCCCCCCCCCCCCCCCCCCCCCCCCCTTCCATCCTATCCATCACTACCAACAACACCACCATCAATCCCGCCCAGCAAGCCAAAGTCCTTGGCGTCATTCTGGACTCAAACCTTTCCTTCCAACCTCCTGTCAAATCACTTACAAACACATACAGGCTCCACCTCCGCAATATCGCCAAGATACGCTCCTTCCTTACCCCAGACACCACTAAGCTACTCGTACACTCCCTGATTATCTCATGTCTGGACTACTGCAACTCCCTCCTCACCGGCCTAACTCATCTCAGACTATCCCCGCTTCAGTCTATCCTGAACTCAGTGGGCCAGACTCATCCACCTCACCAACCGCTCCGCTTCTGCCACCCCCCTCTGTCATTCCCTCCACTGGCCTCCACCCCCCTCTGTCATTCCCTCCACTGGCCTCCACCCCCCCTCTGCCTCTCCCTCCACTGGCTCCCGTTCACAACACTGCCCCTACCTACCTCACCAACCTGATTCCCAGGTACCACCCCGCCTACCCGTACCCTTCGCGCTCCTCACAGGACCTCCTTCTATCTTGCTCCCTGGTCTCCTCCTCCCACGCATGACTGCAAGACTTTTCCAGGTCCCTCCCCATCCTCTGGAACTCACTACCCCAATCCATCAGACTGTCACCTTCCCTCCTCACCTTCAGGCGCTCCCTGAAAACCCATCTCTTCAGGGAAGCCTACCCCACCCTCACCTAACAGCCGTTCTCCTCCACTCCTCCTACCACTCCATCCCCCCCACAGCCACTTCCTCCTGTACCTCTACCCCCTCCCTTCTAGATTGTAAGCTCCAAGGAGCAGGGCCCTCTAACCCCTCGTGTGCTGTTTGTAGTTGCTGTACTGTTTCACGTATTGTCCCCCCCCCCCCCCCCCCCCCATTGTACAGCGTTGAGCGAACCCTTTGGCACTATATAAATTCGATGTAATAATAATAATAATTAACGTCCATGTTAACATTTACGCCTGCAGTCACACCATATACTTGTAGTCAAAATATAATATATTTTTTTTTTGTTCTCTAACTCTTCATTTTGCTGTTTTGTGTCTTAGGATTGCGAAGCGAGAGAAGTACAGTCGCAGACGCGCCTATAACGACGATGCCGACATCGACTACATCAACGAACGGAACGCCAAATTCAACAAGAAGGCGGAGAGGTTTTACGGGAAATACACAGCCGAGATCAAACAGAACTTGGAGAGGGGGACGGCGGTCTAACCTGCTGCCAGGATTTATACATCACTTCCTGATTTTCATCTTCCTCCGAGTACTTGGACTGTAGGAGCCATCATAGTGACCGATGGAGAGATATATATATATATGGACTGGTAGTGTGTGTATGCTCCTAGGGGAATCTCTATCACCCTGTGTATACGTACAGCTGTTCTTGTTATATTTACCAGGAAGGAAAGTTAAGGTCTCCTTCCTATTTTAAATTCTTGCTGTTTCATATGTGTGACGACTGTAACATGTACTGACTTGATGATTGGCCCTCCCTCTGATTTCTGTAGATCAACAAGCAGAATCATCCGCATTGCCAAATGTCTGCTGACATAAGATCAGTTAGCTGCTTAGAGGGAAGGTGGACTGATAGGGCTTGATGAGGTCAGTTTATACCGAAGGAAAAAAAATTGATATTTTGTTTTTCTTTTTTGTTGCTAATTAAATATATTTAAATCCAAAATGTATGTATGTTTTTTTTTTTAGAATTGTTGTATGCATTCCCTTCAGTCTGGCACAGTTATACAGGATCCTTTCTTGTGAAATTGGTTACTTTGATTTCACTGCACACTGTGAGCTTCTTACAGTGTGCATTGGAAGCTGCAGCAAGTCAGAGCTCTGTCTCTTCAGTAGGAACAGTAAAATAAAGCCTGACTGAGGTTATGACCATCCATGTTCCATTGGGGATATTCCTGTCCTGTAGACACAACAGGAATGAAGAGGAAATCTCTCAATTTAAATAAGCATCCCAGTTGGAAAATTGTCCTCTGTATTCCTGCTCCAGTGACCACTAAAAGTGTAGTTCTCCCCCAGAGAGGGTGACTACACCCAGAGGGAACGCACGCAGCAGTGCAGACATAGCGGAAATATTTAGTTTACTCTTCCATAGCTTCTAGATTTTTTCCTTGGTTAGCTCTGTATTTTGGGAGTGACTGTTTTTCAACTAAGATTTTTCTGTTTTTTTTTCCTGTTAAAATGCCCTTTTTCAGAAATAAAATTCTGATAGTTGGCTAACCCCTCACCACTCCAAAAAAAAAAAAAAAAAGTTTTGGCATTTGATGGACTTTAATGTCTGATACTTTCGCCCCCCTCCTGCCCAGGCCAATTTTCAGTTTTCAGCACTGTTGCACTTTAAATGTCAATTGCGCGGTCATGCAACACTAACCAAGTTACATTTTTAAAGGTGTTACTAAACCCAGGACTTAAACCCCGGACCCTGCATTCGCTATATCCGCTCTCCCCGGACCCTGCATTCGCTATGTCCGGTCTCCCTGGACCCTGCATTCGCTATATCCGCTCTCCCCGGACCCTGCATTCACTATATCTGGTCTCCCCGGACCCTGCATTTACTATATCTGGTCTCCCCCCCGGACCCTGCATTCGCTATATCTGGTCTCCCCGGACCCTGCAGTCGCTATATCCGCTCTCCCAGGACCCTGCAGTCGCTATATCCGCTCTCCCAGGACCCTGCAGTCGCTATATCCGCTCTCCCAGGACCCTGCAGTCGCTATATCCGCTCTCCCAGGACCCTGCAGTCGCTATATCCGCTCTCCCAGGACCCTGCAGTCGCTATATCCGCTCTCCCCCGGACCCTGCAGTCGCTATATCCGCTCTCCCAGGGCCCTGCAGTCGCTATATCCGCTCTCCCAGGACCCTGCATTCGCTATATCCGTTCTCCCCAGACCCTGCATTCGCTATATCCGGTCTCCCCGGACCATGCATTCACTATATCCGGTCTCCCCGGACCCTGCATTCGCTATATCCGGTGTCCCCGGACCCTGCATTCACTATATCTGCTATCCCCAGACCCTGCATTCACTATATCTGGTCTCCCCGGACCCTGCATTCACTATATCTGGTCTCCCCGGACCCTGCATTCTCTATATCCGGTCTCCCCGGACCGTGCATTCGCTATATCCGGTCTCCCCGGACCCTGCATTCGCTATATCCGGTGTCCCCGGACCGTGCATTCTCTATATCCGCTCTCCCAGGACCCTGCATTCACTATATCCGGTCTCCCAGGACCCTGCAGTCGCTATATCCGCTCTCCCCGGACCCTGCATTCGCTATATCCGCTCTCCCCGGACCCTGCATTCGCTATATCTGGTCTCCCCGGACCCTGCATTCACTATATCCGGTCTCCCCCTGGACTCTGCATTCACTATATCTGGTTCATACCTATGTAGTTTGCTTTTTGTCCGTTTTGCAGTGCTTTTCGCAGTTTGTTTTGCATTTTTCTACATGGCAAAATCGCATGACAAGTCGCACCCTATCTGGCTCCGACTTGCAGCGATTTTGAAAAGGTTCTTGCGGTATTTCTGACAATTTCCTGTGCGATTTGCAGTGATATCTGTGCATAAAGTCGTCCAGATGTCTGCAAGATGCACATGAAATCGCACTGGCTGGCAGCAGCTGTGAAATCGTGCGACTTCAGCTGCAATTTCAAACCTGCATTTGTCTGAATGGAGCTTTAGGCAAAATCTGAGTGGGCGTTGATGACTTTAGCACAGCCGCGCTGTTTGCTGGATCCCCCGAGCCGTTAATAAAGTTAAGCCCCTTTTATTGACGAATATGCCGCAAGAAAAACTCGCTTCCTGTTTGGCTAAAAATAGCAGCAGAAACCGCAAGGAAGTGAAATTTTCAATTGGCAGCGATGATCCGTGCTGTCCTACTTCTCGTGGCGATCCCAGATTTCACTGACAGAAGTATTGCTGTCTTCGTCTGGCTCCAGGAAGCCGCGGAGTGACATTAGCGGTTGGCGGTAGAACAATGGGGAGCGCCGCGCCAGACCTGTAGTTTCTAGGAGCTCCCTGGCCTGGTGGCGGAGGGACCCATGTGGCACGGCCAATTGTTGCTCAGATGATGGCTGAGTAGCCGTGAAAGCGCACGCCATCAATATTCATACTTTATCTTTGTTATGCTAAACAAACATCTGTGCGGGAAACGCGCATCTCATTACCAATCCAGAGATACATTTCAAACGGCTAATGACCCGCAGAAGAACGGGAATAAACTGGAAACAAATGTAAATTTTCCACACATTTCTTCCATGGGCGTCCCTAGTGTTGGTGTCACCCGGTGCGATAACACTTGGTGACACCCCCTCGGATGATCCCCGCAGGATGGATCAGATGTGCAGATTGAGTATAATGGATCGCAATCCGATCCATTATGCTCCCCAATCTGCAGATCCGATCCATCCTGCGGGGATCGTCGGCTTGCTTTACAACTTACCTTTCCGTGGAGCGGGTCCGGTGTCACACCGTATAGGTTGCATGCTGATGATCCCTGCAGGATGGATGGGATCTGCGGATTGGGGAGCATAATGGATCGGACTCCGATCCATTATGCTCAATCCGCAGATCCGATCCATCCTGCGGGGATTGTCGGCTTGCTTTGCAACTTACCTTTTTGTGGAGCAGGTCCTGTGTTACCCCATGCGGTAGGTGTCACCCTGTGCAGCGCGCACCCCCCGCACCTGCCTAGGGACACCACTGATTCCTTCTATACTCCCCGATTTTGATTGTGTGCCTGATTGCAGCATTCGTATCTGAGTATTTGTATTCCTTCCATACTGTCCCGGGATATTTACACCCCTGTCACACCGGGTGCGACTTGCCATGTGATTTGCAAGTGTACAATCCAAACGCACATGTTCCTGCGTTAAAAATGGCGGTGTGTATAAGTGGGCACTGCAGCGACCGTCGGCTGGAACCGAACAGAATCAGCAAAGGGGAATGTCACCAACACACTGAGGATCACCAATACGGGTCCAAAAGTTCTAACCGGTAGCCGAATGACAGCTGCACCATGGCCAGCCAGTTCTGGGAGGCTGTCCTATGACGTCCTCCCAGAACGCGCTCTCCTGCGCGCCCCCGGGGGCATGCACCCAGAGATCTCCATGATTGCTGTGTCCTACGGACACAGCTGATCACGTGATGTGGTAAAAGGCCCATCACGCTTCCTTTTACCACATGATCAGCCGTTTCCAATGACACGCTGATCACCGGGAAATGCAATTGCCGGTTCTCAGCTGCACTTTCCTCACACTGTCAGAGCGTGAGGAACGTACTGCCGAGAACCAGCAGTTGTCAGAGCAGAGATCGGCACTGATCATTAGGGCACTGATGATCCATGCCCAGCAGTGCCACCCACCAGTTCTGCCCACAAGTGCCCAGCAATGCCACTTACCAGTTCCGCTCACAAGTGCCCAGCAGTGCCGCCTACAAGTTCCCATCAGTGCCACCCACCAGTGCTGCAAGTCAGTGGCGCCCAGCAGTGCCACCATTCAGTGCGATTATCAGTGCCAACTATCAGTACCCATCATCAGTGCCACCCACCAGTTCCGCTCAAAAGTGCCCAGCAGTGCCGCCTACAAGTTCCCATCAGTGCCACCCACCAGTGCCACCATTCAGTGCGATTATCAGTGCCAACTATCAGTACCCATCATCAGTGCTGCCCATCAGTGCCACCTATCAGTGCTGCCTATCAGTGCAGCCTTATCAACGCACATCAGTGAAGAAGAAAAAATACCTGTTTGCAAAATATTATAATAGAAACAAAGAAAAACATTTTTTTTTGCTCTTTTTTTTGTTTATAGCGCAAAAAATAAAACACCCAGCGCCGATTAAATACCACCAAATGAAAGCTCTATTTGTGAGAAAAATTTTTTTATAAAAGTTTCAAGTACAATGTTGCATGACCGTGCAATTGTCATTTAAAGTGTGACAACGCTGAAAGCTGAAAATTGGCCTGGGCAGGAAGGGGGGTATAAGTGCTCGGTAGGCGAGGGGTTAATGAACGATCACATAGTTACAGCAAGGCAACGTTTCGGAGTCTCGCAGGATCCTTTTATGGTCACATGCCTGATGAAGGGGTCCTGCGAGACATATTGGTGATCCTCGGAGTGCTGGTGATATTCTCCCTTGCCATGCGATTTGCCACACCGTGCAAGTTGCAAATCACATGGCAAGCCGCACTCTATTGTCTGCAATTAACCCCCCCCCCGGTCACACCAGGTGCGGCTTGCCATGCGATTTGCCATGCCATGCGAGTTGTAAATCACATGGCAAGCCGCACTCTATTGTCCGCAATAAAAGGAGTCATTTCCGTCTTGGTCAGAGCCACACCGATTTCTAAAGTAGCGCATGCATTGCTTCGGGTTGCTACTGGCATAGACATCTGTGTCTTGCAAGTCGCATCTCAAGTCGGAATACCATCCGACTTTGAAATCGTGCGACTTTCGCTGGAAGTCGCACCATTTCAAAGTCAGATCGGTGTGACCGGATGTAAGATCTCTTTAAAATGATCAATTAGATTGCTGGTTTCCAACATATGGACCGCATGCCAGTACTGTGTGTAGTTCAGACCTGCATCCGGGTCTTCGTGGGTCCCAGTTGTAAATGACCACCATGGTCCAGCACTGAGTCTGGGACTTGAAGTGATCAGCTTCTGGACTTGTGATCTACAGAGCATACCTCAACAGCCCAGTGCAACCCATTGCTCCAATATGGCTTTAGCCATACACTAAGGCTAGATTTAGATGAGAGTCTAAACCTGCCACTTCTCTGAAAAGCAAATTGTGTTAGGATCATTTTCAGAGGTGATTCACAGGCGGTGCTAAGTGCCTCATCTTTGGTATCAGTGGGAGGAATAGCTTACCATCATTGGAGTCAGAGGAAAGAATAGTGCTCCATTGTTGGTGTCAGTGGGATGAATAGTGCCCCATTGTTTGTGTCAGTGGGAGGAATAGTGCCTCATCATTGGTATCAGTGGGAGGGATAGTGCCCCATCATTGGTGTCAGTGGAAGGAATAGTGCCCCATCATTGGTGTCAGTGGGAGGAATAGTGCCCCATCATTGGTGTCAGTGGGAGGAATATTGCCCCATCATTGGTGTCAGTGGGAGGGATAGTGGCCCATCATTGGTATCAGTGGGAGGAATAGTGCCCTATCATTGGTGACAGTGGGAGGAATAGTGCCCCATCATTGGTGTCAGTGGGAGGAATAGTGCCTCATCACTGGTATCAGTGGGAGGAATAGTGCCCCATCATTGGTGACAGTGGGAGGAATAGTGTCCCATCATTGGTGTCAGTGGGAGAAATAGTGCTCCATCATTGGTATTAGTGGGAAGAATAGTGCCCCATCATTGGTATTAGTGGGAGGAATTGTGCCCCATCATTGGTATCAGTGGGAGGAATAGTGCCCCATCATTGGTGTCAGTGGGAGGAATAGTGCCCCACCATTGGTATCAGTGGGAGGAATAGTGCCCCATCATTGGTATCAGTGGGAGGAATAGTGCCCCATCATTGGTATCAGTGGGAGGAATAGTGCCCCATCATTGGTGTCAGTGGGAGGAATAGTGCCCCATCATTGGTATCAGTGGGATGAATAGTGTCCCATCATTGGTGTCAGTGGAAGGAATAGTGCCCCATCATTGGTATCAGTGGGAGGAATAGTGCCCCATCATTGGTATCAGTGGGATGAATAGTGTCCCATCATTGGTGTCAGTGGGAGGAATAATGCCCCATCATTGGTGTCAGTGGGAGGAATAGTGCCCCATCAGTGGTATCAGTGGGAGGAATAGTGCCCCATCATTGGTGTCAGTGGGAGGAATAGTGCCCCATCATTGGTATCAGTGGGATGAATAGTGTCCCATCATTGGTGTCAGTGGAAGGAATAGTGCCCCATCATTGGTATCAGTGGGAGGAATAGTGCCCCATCATTGGTATCAGTGGGATGAATAGTGTCCCATCATTGGTGTCAGTGGGAGGAATAGTGTCCCATCATTGGTGTCAGTGGGAGGAATAGTGCCCCATCATTGGTATCAGTGGGAGGAATAGTGCCCATCATTGGTAACAGTGGGAGGAATAGTGTCCCATCCTCCTAGATTGTAAGCTCCAAGGATCAGGCCCTCAAATCCCTCTTGTATTGAACTGTATTGTTGCTGTATTGTCTCCCGTTATATTGTAAAGTGCTGAGCAAACTGTTGGCGCCATAAATCCTGTATAATAATAATAAATATCAGTGGTATAACTAGTACCCTATCTTTGCTGTCAGTGACAGAAATGATGCCCCATTTTTTGGTGTTAGTGATAAGAATAGTGCCCCATTGTTGGTGTCAGTGAGAGGAATAGTGCCCCATTGTTGGTGTCAGTGGGAGGAATAGTGCCCCATTGTTGGTGTCAGTGGGAGGAATAGTACCCCATTGTTGGTGTCAGCGGGAGGAATAGTGCCTCATTGTTGGTGTCAGTGGGAGGAATAGTGCCCCATCACTGGTGTCAGTGGGAGGAATAGTGCCTCATTGTTGGTGTCAGTGGGAGGAATAGTGCCCCATCACTGGTGTCAGTGGGAGGAATAGTGCCCCATCACTGGTGTCAGTGGGAGGAATAGTGCCCCATCACTGGTGTCAGTGGGAGGAATAGTGCCTCATCACTGGTGTCAGTGGGAGGAATAGTGCCTCATCATTGGTGTCAGAGGAAGGAATAGTGCCCCTTTGTCAGTCAGAGGAATAATACCCTATCATTGTTTGTAAGGGGAATAGTGCCCCATTGTTGGTATCTGTGGCAGGAATGATGCCCCTTTTTTGGTGTCAGTGAAATAAAGGCCGCATCTGGCCACCAGAGCCCCATTTGGAAGCCACTGTTTTATATCAACCCCTGAACCAGGGGTGGACTGACAACTCATGGGGCCCCCGGGCAATAGGGGATCATGGGGCCCCTGTGTCCTTGCCCAAACTGAAAAAAGCTTATGAAAAAGGTACCAGGGGCATCTCATGGGGCCCCCTACTGACCCCCGGCCCTTGGGCAGTGCCCGAGATTCCAAATGGTCAGTCCGCCCCTGGCCTGGACTGAAAACTAAAACCACGAGCAAGTAGATGGAGTTCAATGTTTAATTCTCAGTTTCAATTCCCGTGTCTCTTTCTATCTTCTAACTCCAGACTGACAAGTTTCACCAATGAAAAGTTCAAGACATTTTTTTATTGCTACATAATTATTCTTCTGCCCTCGGGTTCTATCGCAGGCTCAGGCACATTGGAAGTTCTGCGAGACCAAAGTCGCTTCTGGAACTTTGATGTGAAATAAAGATGATTTGGTGTGATGTGAGAAGGCGTGTTCCGGGGTCAGGACAAGTCGTTAGATCTCGGTATAAGCCCCGTCACCTGACCGCGCCGGTCACAGCCAGACAAGAACGCCGGCTTTATAGGTGCTCTGATGTTTGGCAGGGGAACAATACCGGGGAGGGGGGGGGGGGGGACGGCGACACAGGATAATCCTCCTTCCAGTTAAGTATTGCCTTATGACTTTCCAGATTTAGGGAATAAAGGAATAGCTTTACTACTTAATATGGAAACAATCTGTTTGAAAGGCCAATGGGTGGGGGATTGAGAACATCCAAATCTATAGAATCTATTGTATTTATATATACATGCAAAAAATATCGTGGAACTTCAGCGAAACTTATTTTTTTTTTGTTTTTTAGTATAGCAGGGTCTTCAAACTTTCTACACCAAAAGTCAGTTCACTGTCCTACAGGCTTTAGAGGGCCAGACTTTGGCCAGAGGGAGTAGAACATGCCCTGGAATCACTGGGAGTAGAGAAATCCAATGAATGTAAAAAATTCCCCATCATTGGTGTCAGGGGAGCAATAATGGCCCCTCAATGGTGTCAGGGGAGCAATAGTGTCCCATCAATGGTGTTAGGGGGGTATCGTGCCCCATCAATGGTGTCAGGGGAGCAATAGTGTCCCATCAATGGTGTTAGGGGGGTATCGTGCCCCATCAACGGTGTCAGGGGAGCAATAGTGTCCCATCAATGGTGTTAGGGGGGTATCGTGCCCCATCAATGGTGTCAGGGGAGAAATAGTGCCCCGTCAATGGTGTCAGGGGAGCAATAGTGTCCCATCAATGGTGTTAGGGGGGTATCGTGCCCCATCAATGGTATCAGGGGAGCAATAGTGTCCCATCAATGGTGTTAGGGGGGTATCGTGCCCCATCAATGGTGTCAGGGGAGCAATAGTGTCCCATCAATGGTGTTAGGGGGGTATCGTGCCCCATCAATGGTGTCAGGGGAGCAATAGTGCCCCGTCAAAGGTGTCAGGGGAGCAATAGTGTCCCATCAATCGTGTTAGGAGGGTATCATGCCCCATCATTGGTGTCAGGGGAGCAATAGTGCCCCATCAATGGTGTCAGGGGAGGTATAGTGCCCCATCAATGGTGTCAGGGGAGGTATCGTGCCCCATCAATGGTGTCAGGGGAGCAATAGTGCCCCAGCATTGGTGTCAGTGGGACGGATAATGTCCCAAAATTGGTGTCAGAAAAGCAATAGTGTCATGTCAATGGTTTCACTGGTGTTTGTTGAGGGAATAGTACCTTATCATTGGTCAGGAAGTGAAATAGTGCCCCCTCATTGGTGTTAATGGGAGGAATAGTGCTTCATCATTGATGTCAGTGAAAGGAATAGTGTCCCATCATTGGTAGCAGGACAAAGAACAGTGTCCCATTAACAGTAGAGTGAGAGGAAAAGTGCCCCATCATTGGTGTCAGGTAGTGGAATAGTGCCCTATTGATGATTTCAGTGGGAGGAATAGTGCCCCATCATTGGTGTCAGTGGGAGGAATAGCGTCCCATTGCTGGAGTCATTGGTAGGAAATTGTGCTCCATCATCGGAGTCATTGTGAAGAATAGTGCCTCATCATTGGTGTCAGTGGAAGGAATAGTGCCTCATCATTGGTGTCAGTGGAAGGAATAGTGCCTCATCATTGGTGTCAGTGGAAGGAATAGTGCCTCATCATTGGTGTCAGTGGCAGGAATAGTGCCTCATTATTTGTAGCAGGGGAAAGAATAGTGTTTCATTAACAGTATCAGTGAAGGGAATAATGCCCCATCATTGGTGTCAGGTAGTGGAATAGTGCCCTATTGCTGATTTCAGTGGGAGGAATAGTGCCAGATTGGTGTTAGTAGGAGGAATAGTGTCCAATTGCTGGAGTCATTGGTGAGAAATTGTTCTCCATCGTTGGAGGCATTGTGAAGAATAGTGCCTCATCATTGGTAGCAGGGGAAAGAATAATGTCCCATTAATGGTAGAAGTTGGAGGAATAATGCCCCATCATTGGTGTCAGTGGCATGAATTATGGCCTATGGTTGGGACAAGTGCAAAGAAATTGTTCCCTATTGTTGGGATCAGTGGGAGAAATAGTGCCCCAAAGGCCAGTAAAGGAAAGCAGTCACATGTGACTTGTGACCCACAGCCTACTATTGGTGTCTGGGGGAAATCCCTTTAATGGGGCACATCAGTAATTAAATGATTTTAGCAGCCTGAGGCAGGAGAAGCATTTCTATAAAGCTCTTGTTGTTAATGAAGTCTGGGTCGGTATTAGGGAGATTTTCCTTCGTTTCCTGTTCTGCTCTCCCTGAATGGCGATGGGATGCAATACGCATACACTGTACTACATTAAAAGCGCAACATGGAGGGCGGCCAGCAAAAAAACATTTGCCTCTCTTTATAGTCAAACATTTGAATCTCATGGTCTCGAGTTTGGCTACTGCTTTATTATGTAGAAATAATGAATTAACCCCCCCACTATATATATATATATACAGTATGTATGTATTGTATATACACACACACTGCTTGACTAACCCCAATATTCGATAACCAGCTCCAGGTCTCATGCTTCTTGCAGGTGTCGGGGTGGAAAATTGAGCTTGCCGTGTATGTGAGAGCCATAAAACATAATCCAGAGGTGGAAGTGAGTGAGACGGGCCAGTCTCCATGTTCGGAGCACTTCTCCAGATGTGGGATGGTGAAGACAGAGATCTCCCAGCACGCAGGCTCCAATTACAGCACTGCTGCCTTCCTAATAGGGGTGCGAGGCTGAGGTTACTGAGGTCAGTCTTGCTGTTTGATACACAAAGCTTTTCACCATAAGCCGTGCGATTCCTTTAACAATCCAGTATATCTTACATGTATCAGACGTCTCCAACTCTCTATATATATTCATAATTCACATATACAGTACAGTAAATTAGTCTCTAGAAGTCAATGCTTTAACCAAGTGCTAAAAATAGGTGCTCCAAATAACAAATCTCTAACAAAATATAAATACAAAAGTGGTTGTAAACCTCTGAAATGAAAAATGAACAAAACATATCCCTCTATAGTGTGTACTTGCCTCAATCCAAAGCAACTAAAGTGATTTCTGTGTCTGCTGCCTGCTTCCTCTTCTATGTGCATGAGTCACTTCTGACCTGTTATGCAGGCTGCAAGAGATCCATGAGGATGTAGGGGGACCTCCAGCACACAGCAGGTGATTGACAGCCTCGGCCAAACCATCTAGGGTGGTTTGGTCCTTCTATAGTGTGTGTACTTGCCTCAATCCAAAGCAACTAAAGTGATTTCTGTCTGCTGCCTGCTTCCTCTTCTATGTGCATGAGTCACTTCTGACCTGTTATGCAGGCTGCAAGAGATCCATGAGGATGTAGGGGGACCTCCAGCACACAGCAGGTGATTGACAGCCTCGGCCAAACCATCTAGGGTGGTTTGGTCCTGCTATAGTGTGTACTTGCCTCAATCCAAAGCAACTAAAGTGATTTCTGTCTGCTGCCTCCTTCCTCTTCTATGTGTATGAGTCACTTCTGACACACTATGCAGACTGCAAGAGATCCATGAGGATGTAGGGGAACCTCCAGCACACAGCAGGTGATTGACAGCCTTGGCCAAACCACCTAGGGTGATTTCTGTCTTTTTCCTCTGCTATCTGCATGAGTCACTTCTGATAGTCTATACAAGCAATTGGAGAGGGCTATGACCCCCCCCCCCCCCCCCTCCAGTGTACAGCATGTGATTGACAGGCTCGGCTGTGCATTCCCTATGAGATTTTGTAGGGTTGAGGTGTTCATTCCCTTTACTCAAGTCTCAGATTACACTCAGCTCCCTGCTCTATTCTGTGCAATGTGTGACATCAGATCCACGCCCTCTGCCTTCTGATGATCAGAAATGCTGTGTAAACTGTACACAGCCGTGAATAGGAAGTGGCTGCAGATAAACAGGAACAACTTATGTAGGAGGATTTGTTTTTTCTCTGTGTATCACCTGAGTTTAGTCATTTCACTGGGGAAAGGCAATTTTCCTTTTTTTCCAAATAGGTTTTTAAAAAAAAATATTTTATTCTTTCAAATATTTATTTTTCACTTTATTACTATAAAAAGAGGTCTGGCAAGCTTGTGTTAGTAGTATGCTTGTGACAGGTCCTCTTTATGAAGACATCAGGGGGTTATTAGACCCCTAATGTCTCCCCAGCACTCAGCCAAAGCAAATCCTGGACTATCCATATGTCACCCAAGATTCACACAACATTCACCCGTTTTTTCAAACACTGAATGGAAAATGGTTGAAAGATATGTAAATTATGGGTGAAAACATTGATAAATAGATCCCAAAGCCCCCTATTGCCAGATATACATTTCATGAAAGCTGCAGATTTAAAGCCCCATATTAAAACTGCTACATTCATTCCAGGTGCATCAGAGCAAAAATCGTTTGTTTTCTTTTACAAAGCAACCACAGCCTGAGTAGAAAAGTCTGTCCCTTGCCAGCATGCTGCAGAGAAGGACTCTTGTTCTCAGTGTGAAAGCAGTGGTCTCTCTGCAGAGGTCCGGAAAGCCTCCTGCTGAGAAAGACCCAAAGCTGACAATACATGATTAGATTTTTTTCATTCCGCCTGCAGATTCCTCTATCTATGACATTCAGTGCAATAGCACAACATCCCTGCTGGGCCATTCTATACTGACAGCTGCCACCAGACTTTATCAGAATCCCCAAACCGGTACTACATCTGAGTAGATGCAGCCACTGTTCAGG